CTGCGCCAGCTGACTGCCTTTCTTCGACTTCTTGGAATGCGCCTGGGACCCAGGCGAAGACATCATCCCAGCATCCAATGACCGGGCCTGCGTAACCTTCTTCTTCGTCGCAGAGTCCTGGTGACGCCGCTCCCCGATGGCCTCTGATTCGTCGGCACGTTCCCTCCTCCTCTTCGGTTGTCCTTCCTCGCCTCCCTTCTGCTTCCTCTTCTTCTCTGAACCTGCCTTCCGCTGCTCGACTCGTCCAGCCATGTACTCCGGTGCGTTCTCGTCTTCACGCTGACCAGCCTGCTGGAATCGCTGGGAAGCCCAGTACTCGTCCTCCCGTGCGATAGGTCGCTCAAGTACAGCCGACGTGGAAGCAGAGGACTGAGACTGGATATACTGCAGAGTTCGGTCGTTGGAGTGAGGAAGCGGCAGCCTTGAGAGGTTCGTATGTGAAAGTCGGTGGTGATGGAGCGCATGCGAAGATGGGCCTGCCTGGGTTTCGGAGGGAGCGACGGATTCCGAGCGGGCCTGGAGTTCCTCGGCGATTTCGTGCACATCGACGTCCGACATTGACTGAGCATGATTGACTTCGGGCTCGTGGTCGATCGCGATGCGTGGAACATCGTCCTGCGGTGAAGGGGTGGGCGAGACGACAGGTTTGCGAATGCCAACTGACTTGGCTGCACGGCGAGGTTGACTTGAGCCTTCCTCGGTTTGATGCCTGGAGACAAAAGTGGGTCAATGGAGGGAGACGACAAGTTCACTACTTGAACGTACGCGTCTCTCGTCTCCTGCTCTGCAGCATCGGCCTTCTCCTGCCTCTCTTTCTCCTTCTCCTTCCTCTTCCTGAAGAGATCACCAGCGTCAGAATCCCGAGAAAGTCACCGAAGAAACGAATTAAGATCAACCTCTTCCTCTCCCTCTTCTCCTCATCCTGATACTCCTTCCCATTAGCCGCAAACCCAGCGTTCATAACATCCGTCAGACTAAACTGCTGTTGAGGCTCCTCTTCTTCTTCCTCCTCCTCACGTTGCACTGTACTCTTCGACCGCTTCTTGCCCTTCGTGGTCAATTTGCGTGCCTCTAAGTGAGTCTCCCGACGTTCCTTCAGCTGCAAATTCGCGAGAGTAGGCGGATGCAGCTGCCCATGTCCATCCGACGAGCTTCCCACTCCCTGGATCTCCGGTACATCATCGACATCCATCGGCAACTCTTCCATGTCCAGCACGATTGGGCTCCCGGATGTCCTTCCCCGCTCATCCACGGCCTTCTCCTTCCCCTTCCCCTTCCTCGCCATCTCCCTCTCCTTCTCTGTTATCGCATCGTCTCTTTCTTGCATGGAGATGTAACTCCCCGCGTCGCGTGGCATCGGCGGAGCAAGAACATAGACAGACGGTCGACCTCTGAAGGGGGCAGGTGGCTTGCTTTCCTGCTTCCTCCGACGGGGCGGCCATGTGGGACTCATCCCCCTTTCCTCGTCACATTCTTCTTCCTCCTTATCCTCCTCTTCCTCCTCCTCTTCTTCCTCGTTCTCTTCCGGGACAATCAACCGGGCCTTCGCCTTGTTTTTCTTCTTCAACGCAGGCCAGAAATCCGATGAGTCAGAGGATGGGTATGCTTCGCGTTGAGGAGGTGACCTTCGCGGAGGGGATACATCACAGGGATGAGAAGATGGGCGTGTTTGACGTGGGTCACGTTGACGACGGGATGGGGATACGGAGTCGTCTCTCCCCCTTGTCATTGGAGGAGAAGACGGCCTTGCTTGTCGACGGACGGTGGTCGGCTTTCCCTCATTCTCCGCCTTGCCCTTTGCTTTCCCCTTTGTGCTCTTGCCCTTCGTCAACCTCGTCTCAACCTCCGCGTCGCTAGAATTGGAGGAGATCTCGACAATTTCGTCATCATTGAGGAGTGGTGCTTTCCGCTTAGCAGACGACGAGGTGGGGAGTTTGGAGGATGAAGAAGCGGGGAACTCGGATGAAGATCTGGGTACCTTGGAAGACGCTGATGCCTCCGTGACCTTGGCCCCCACAACCTTCGAAGTCGAGGTACCAGCCAATTTGACCGGCGAAACCGCCTTCCACGCATATCCCCCACCCCTACCCCCACTGCTCGAAGGAGTAATCGGCTTCGGTCTCCTCGCTTCGTCCCTTCGCACCTCTGTCACCGTCACGCCCGAGCCGGACTGTGAACTTGATTGGCGCTGGAGGGAACCACCAGTTGACGATAACGGGCATTGAATGACGCTACTTGACGATCCCGGGCTTTGGACGACGCTGCTTGACGGCATCGGGCGTTGCTCGACTCTGAAGACCTTCCCAGAAACCTGCTTTCGCGCCTTCTGCTGCGTTCCGGTTCTTTGCGACTGCGTTCCGGTTCTTTGCGACTGGAAAGGCGAGACGATGCGCTGGGACGAAGAAGAGACGTGCTTGGATGACGAGACGGACTGCTTAAACGGCGACCCAATGGCGTTGAACGGAGACGTGACATTCTCTGGTGACGAGGAGGTTGCAAACGGCGAGGCAAGGCGGTCCTGCAGCGAAAGGGAGGGTGAAGATATATCGAGGTTGGAGGAAGAGCTGGTCGAAGATGAATCCTGCGTGGGTTTCGCGGGGGATACGAACGGTTTCTTGATTCCTCTCGGTTTCGGGTTCGAGTTTGCTTTGGGTGGGTCGGAACTGGGGACGCTGGAGGAAGATGAAGGGGAGAATGCTGGAGGTGGGGAGTTGGAATGGTTTGCTTGGGCCTGGGTATTGATTGTCAGTTTGCGTGTTCCGCAGAAGGCAGTGATAGATGATAAGATGCACCTGCCGAGCTTCCTCCTCCTCCGAAGGCGTGGGCGATGGCAAGAAAAGCCCTGGTTTCTGCGGAGAACCATCCTGCGAACTTGAGCTCGAGCGCTACACAAATCAAATCCCCATATCAGCCTCATCTCAATCGCCCGGAAGGAGTAAGCTGAGCTTACCTGGACACTCATCGACCTCTCCCTCTCCTCCATTCCAACAGCGAGCGAGTTACTTGGCTTCCATCCCACCGAGTTCGTATCTGAGTCGGAAGAGCCGGGGAGAGCGCTTGCGGCTCGCACCTTAGTGCTTTGCCTTGGGCTCGTCGTACTCGTTGGACCTAGACTCCAGCCTGTGCTTGAGCTCGCGGCTCCAACACCCTGGGTGACTGGCCCCTGCTTGACCCAATCCGGCCTCGTCATATGTCCCTGCGCTTGTATCTTCTTATTCGGCGTCAACGCGTTCAAGTCCAAGAGTTTGGTCGATGTGGCGATGGGGGAAGTGCGGTGGTGGGGGTGGTGGTGCATTGCGCGTGCATTGGGATGGGAAAGATTCGCGTTGGTAGTTGGATTGTTGGTCGACATTGCGCTCTGGTAACTCGCGCTCGAAGTTGACCTCGACCTGGCTTCTGGACCGACGGCGGCGGGTGTCCTTGCAGCGCTTAAAGAGAGTGGCTGTGCGATGTGACACAACCGCGTCGATCACAAGACGAAATGCGACCGAGATGAGGGCGGAGCCAGACGCGTCGGTGGTTGAGAAGAAGTGTGTCGGGTGCGGGTAGCAAGTTGAGTGATGGTAAGGATAGGATGGTGGAAGAAGAAGAGTAGAAGAAATGAAGTCAGTAAATGCGCAATGAGATGGAATCAAGACAACTTCTGACCTCTGCTCGAACATGACTTCCACCTCCACCACTCGGTATCACATCTCCATGTCTATGCACAGATCTACATCTCGAGGCAGAGCGGTTGACTCCAGATCCAGAGCTATCCGGTACATCACGCCATTCCCTCCCGTCGCTTGGTCTCTTCCGTTCTTCGGCACTTCCACTTCCACTTCCACTCCGCCTGGAGTGGTCGTGTTTCGGATATGCGTTGGTAGGTGTGTGGTTGGAGGTGTAGTTTTCATGGTTGTTTCTAGTAGCGGAAGAGCTAGAAGAGGCGCTATTCCCCGGCGTATCTCCATCCTTCTCAGCGCCCTCTTTGCCCTCCCAGTTGCCCAATATGGATGACATTGGTACTGTCAGCGGCTACGGTGCCAGCAATTAAATCCTCTCGCAATAGGCGCGCAGCCCTAAAGTGCACGATATTTGGGTGGGTAGAGAAGAAGCAGTTGGCCATACTGCAGCAGCAACAGTTCAGTAACAAAGATCTGATCTGTCAGTGATCAGCGCTTACGTTTAGTGATGCGGTCAATACCCAAATGTGATCATGATGACTAGCAGAAACCGGCACCGCCACGCTACGGAACTTCGTTTCAACGACCCTCACCCAAACTCACACGTCTCTCCTCGTCCTCCGAGCCAATTTAAAAGCTTGCCAAACCCCACCCACCTCAAACCAAAACTAAACCAAACATGTCTCGTCGCGCCGCACCCGCCTCCTCCGGCTTCCTTCCCTCCTCCGGCCCCTCCGCTCGTCGCGTCGGCCCAGCATCCACCGCCAACGAGTCCTTCATCACCCGTTTCTTCCGTGAAGAAATCTTCGCACCCGAGAAGATCCCTGGAAACTTGAGCGTAGCAGTCGCCGTTACTATGTTTGTTGGCGGTGTGTCGGCGGTGAGGACGTGGGGGGAGATGATGGTGCCTGCTTGAAGCGGGTCGCTCAGAGTTGTTGGAGGAGGAGAGGAAGGGGAAGGGAGGGGGAGTTGACGAAGAAGACCAGGACTCGACGCGTTGCACACGAAGAGCAAGTCAGCCAAGCAGCCAGCACCACCCGCAGGAGAAGACACTCCATAGAATCGCAGAAAACCTCCTCGACACGCTTTCGGTTGCATTTTTCGCTTCTTCCCTATGATACTTTACTTTACGGTTCACGACTGCATCTGTTGTCATGCTGAATTCTCCGTATTCATCACACTGCAATCCCACTCGCACATCGCATAACTTGGACGTTTGAACTGGGTGTGAGTTTGCGTTTCCTCGGAGGAACAAGAAAGCCCTGAATGACGGGCGATCTTTCTCCTGACCATGCAAACGCGCGAAACATTAATTGCTCACTAGAAATTTTCGTTAAGTCGGATATGGTGTAATGGTTAACATTGCCGCCTCTCATGGCACTCTGCACTGTTGAACGCGGCAGCTCGGGGTTCGATTCCCCGTATCCGAATCACGGCTGACATCTTATTTTTGCCCATGGTGTTTTCTCTCTGCTGCTGTGAACTGGAATCTGTCTGGTACAGACTCCAGTGTCCAGTGTTGTCCATCAAGAAAAGTTCGAGCTTGGAACGCATTTGTTGTACCGTATAGTAACGCTGAGGGACTGGCATTCATATTTATACCAGTTATAACATTGACTTGGGTGGACTAAGACTAAGTACTACAAGCTGCTAGAGGATATTGATTATGAAGGGGACGGGCAACTGAGCACTGGAATGCAATTTCACAAAAACATTTCCGAGCTCTACTTACCTAGTCTTTGAAGCTCTCAACGGGCAGAGGCGCTACAGCTGTCTGGTTCCAGTATAATGAGCGCAGAGCAAGGTTGCATTGCACATCCGGCATCACATGCATTCAGCAACACTCAAGTTGAATTCTACAAGTAGTTGGTATTGCTCACTTGAGGTACACAGTAAAATTCCGCCAACAAACATTAATATCAATTGAACAAGAGTTGTAAAGTACAAAAGTGCAATCCATTGTGGTGGAGCCAAAGATCCCAAAGGTGTAGCAAAGCGTAATTGTTATGATACATAGCGTACTTAGCCTTGTGGAGTAGATGTAGTGTAAGACCCCGGGGATGATCTGCAAGGCAGCACGCCAAGTAGTCTAGTAACAAAGATGAATAATGAGCATGGTGAGGCCGTGAGTATGCGTACCTAGTAACGAAGTGGATAAAACTAAAGAGCAACATCACGTGATGGTTGGCAACACGTAACCCGCGCACGTGCTCAACGCGCGGGCCGCCACCATCAACGCGCGCCACTCTTCAGCCATCCACTGCCGCTACATCTACTCTACAAGGCTAAGTACGCTATGTATCGTAACACTTGGTCCGTGCAAAAAGAAAAGTCCAACCCAGAAAAAGAAAACTGCCCCTCTCAACTCCGGCCACGCCGACGGACCTTCTTCTTGGTCCTGCCTGCCGCCTCTGCCGCCAAAAATTCCGCAATCGCCTCCTGCGCGCCCTCCAAATTCTCCTCCGGCTCCCACTGATCCTCTGTCACCCCATACACAGCCCAACGCACCAGATACTGCATGCCGGTCTTCCTCTTGCACAATGCCAATATCCTCTCCACCTTATACTCCGCCCCACCCTCCATCTCAATTGCCGGTGGCGGCACCTGCTTCCTGCCAATGATAGTGTCTGCCGAAGCTGGTACCAGGCATGAAACATGGAAGACATTGTGAATCTTCCACGTAGCTGGCAGCTCAACGCAATAGGCAGTGTCCAAAATCTTCTGCGTCACCTTGAATGGCCCAAAACGCTTGAAGTCCAGTTTCTTGTTGGGTGAACCAAGCGCAGATTGGCGCGCTCCACAAACACCATATCTCCAGCAACCCAATCCGGCGCCTCATCCACCCAGGCATTGTGGTAGACCTTCATTCTCACTGCCACCATTTCCAGCATTGACTTCAACTCCTCCTGGACCTCAGCCAGGTGCCGCAGGCAATCATCAGCAGCGGGAATGGTGTTGGCACTGACTGGGTCAATAGAGAAAGATGGGTAGTAGCCGTACTTGGCATAGAAGGGAGACATGCCAATTGCTGAATGCAACCTGTTGTTATAAGCAAACTTGGCAAATGGCAGCCAATCCACCCAGTTGTCCTGGTAGAAGTTGACAAAAATCCAAAGGTATGCCTTGAGCTCCTGGTTCATCCGCTCTGTCTGTCCATTGGTCTGCGGGTGATGAGCTGTAGAGAGTGCCGACTTGATACCCAGGCGGGTAAACAGGTGCTGTGTGAACCTTGCTGAAAATTGCGGACCCCGGTCAGAGATGAGTTTCCTTGGAGTCCCATGCAGCGGCCACACCTGACGAATGAATGTCTCGCACATGTCTGGGGCATTGTCTGTTGTCTGTGCCTCCAGAAAGTGAGCCCTTTTTGTCATCTTATCCACCACCACCTGCACAGCATCATGCCCTTGCAAAACCGGCAGCGGACCCAAGTAGTCAGTAGTGACATGTTGCCATGGGCCAGATGGGATCTCCAAGGGCTGGAGAGGTCCATGAGGACGCAACCGCCGTGTCTTTGAACGTTGGCAAAGGTTGCATCCCTCCACGTAACGCCACACATACCCTGAGATCCGTGGCCAATAATAGTTGCGCGACACCAGCTCCAGCGTCCG